ACTATAGACTTCTTGGTATGGGTCACCTCATTTGTTTGATGGTTAGAATCACTTCTTACCAATTTAAACACTTAGGTTCGAACTCGTACATAGAGTTGTTCTGAAAATCATAATGAGGTATTTCAAAATACCTTTTATAAAGTAATATTGAAAACCTACATTTTTTATAATTAAAAGTAAGACAAAATCATTTAATCTATCACGAACGTTTTGTTACATATCACTTAAGTCACGCGTTCACACACACACACAAATTAAGTGTAAATCAAAGTTATTTCACATACTTCTTACTACGAGTCACCTGAGTAGTTTGATGGTTTGGAGTACTCTTTACCAACTTAAGTACTTAGGTTTGAAATTTGTAAATCAAAGAAAGTGAGTTAAAAAGAATATGATTAGTTATTTGAAAAAGCCTTTTTATAGTAATCTAAAAAATATAATGTTTTTCATACAAAATTAAGCTATTCAATAAGTTATTTGACAATATATTTATATATTATAAACAATGCACAACACTAATCTTGATTGTCATTAATGTCTAGAACATGCTACAATGGTGAACATAACACTACAGGAAAAATGTTAATTTTCGAAGGAATAAAATCGACAGCCTCTGAGGCCTTCGGTAAAGTTGATTTACTGAAGGATGTACCGACGGTCATGTTAGTAGCTGATTACCGAAGGCTTTGAGAGTTTATCGAAGGACTAAGACTGTCGTTATAAGCATCGACTTAATGAAATAAAAATTTGGGATTTTCCTCTTCCATTCTCCCAATTTTTGTTTCCGCACAAGCTTTCCCCCAATTTTTCGTCTCTAAGCTCCATGAGAAAGAAATGGTCAATATTGACAATGATAATGAGATATTTTAAAATGTCTTTCATTTAATAATCCCAAAAATATAATTATTTAATATTTTGTAGGAAATTGTTAGAAAAATTAGGATATAAAAGAGGAACATGCAACTTACAACACAAGAATTACTGTGTTCCTTCTACCACCTAGTCACTTCTTTTTATAATATATATTCTTTATGTGAATGTCTAGTTACAATTGGCTAGATATTTCATTAGATAAGTAGAGTATCACATACTATTTTCAACATACCATTTTCTCAAAGGAAAAAGTGCCAAATTGCATGGGAAGTGTTCTGGTTTGTTATAATACAGTCTTTGTGGCTATATAGGAATATTATAAATTTCAAAAAAATAACTTAAATTGTTCTTGGATTATAAAACTTATTAAGCCTAAATCTTTTTAAATTAATTTGAAAGAAAGCATAAGATTTCATTTCTCTTATGTTGAATGGTCTTTCAATCCTTTACTTATTGATATAGCCTTAGATTTAATATATATATATATATATATATATATATATATATATATATATATATATATATATAGTTTAAGTACTCCTTGTATTTATATTATATATAATTTTCTGTTAGTCAATTGAAAAAGAACATAGATATTCTCTTCTAATTATTTCATTGAGGAACTTTTGAAGTAATATGAAATTGGATTCATGATGTGTTCTTATGATTAATTTTGTGGAGTAGCTTAAATTTTAAATTTTTTTCATGTCCCCCAACCTTCTTCTAAAGTATACAAAAAGACTGCAAAAAATTATTTAAAATTTCTTTTAATATGGACTGATTGATACACTACAAACATGGTGATAATGAATTTAATTATGGATTTGTAACTTTTATTTGTATTATGATAAGTGTATTTAATTTTAATAATGAATTTGACATTTATCTTATTTTGTTTTGTTAAGTTTTTGTTAAATTCACTTTAATTTAGTTTTTGTTTTGTAATTTCTAGCACCAATAGAGAGTCAAAGTAAAAAAAATAAAGAAAATAAATGAATTTCAAGCAAACAAAATTGATACTAGTGTAACTCAAAATTGAGGCTCGAGCCATTAAGCAAATCCATTGCAAAGGAAAATTTTAATCAGTAAATCTGAGACTAAATCATAAAGACTCCTTCCTAAAAAAGTTATTTCAGGAACTTAAACATAAAAGCATGAAGTCTGGCCATAGAAAAATAAAAAGACATATGCAATGTTAAAAGTTACAAGAAGCATTGTGGAAAACATTAATCAAAGGTCGTCTAAAAACCAGAAACTATTAAAAAAATTGTTTAAGGTCAAAAAGGTTTTTCAATTGGTATATGAAAAAAAAATTTGCAATTATGAGAAGAAACTCCACAAAGTCAACCAATCAAATTTAGTCATAGACAAAATCAATATGATATGGAATTGAAAAAAAGAATCTTGTTAAACATAACTTTCCATTACCACCTAGTTTTTTTTAGCTTTTATCTAATCTTTTCACTAATTTTTTTACTAAGTATATCCTAATTAGAAACTTAATATTGCACTTATCTCATGTTAAATCGGTGATCACTTTTTTAAGTGGCCGACCCCAATATCTAGCACATGTGAGTGATCTTTATCCTTCACATATTAAATTGAGTGATCTTTATCCTTCACATGTGAGTTTTCCTTTGGATATGGAGAAAAGTTTTTTTTTTTTTTTTCACAAAAAACACACATGCCAAAGTTATAACCCCACTGGTAACTTGCCCTAATTCTTTCCTTTATAAGGTAGTTTCTAGTCACCCACTTTTTCCCTTTGTTTCAATATATATGTTAAGCTAATCAAAATTAAAGTGTGTCATAACATCAATTGTAAATACCATATTCTAATGTTGTCATTTGCCTAACTTGGTGCTCACAAATGACAAGTAATCTACACCCTTTTTTCTCCAATATCATGATCCATGAGAATAGTGTAGATGTCTAAGACAACTAGATTATTATGTACAAAATTGCTATTGATAATAGTAGTAATTGTTAGGAATCTTCCATTTTGATTTTCTTATCTATTAATAGAGGTGAAAATAGGTCACTTATTCCATATAACTATGACTTGAAATATTCAAATTTATGTGAGAACATGACATTTTTAAAGAAATAAGTCAAATATATATTTCTACGAAAGACTATTTATTTTAAGAAAGATAGGGTTTAGTTCATTGGAAGAGCCTTTCTAAGTAAATATATAAATATCTTGATTATAATATTCTTGTATTATTTAATTAAACTTAAACATATTGTAAAAATTCACCTTTAATTATTAAGGATGTCGATCTACATAAAAGATACAATTATAAAGTTATTAAAAAATAAATTTACTTGTCATTTAAGGATCGATGTTAGGTAAAAAATACAACATGTTTATTAACTTTTTAAAAGCCATATAATAATAATTATTATAAAAAAAACAAAAGGTTAGATTCAACCACACCTTAAAAAAACACTTGAACAAGTAAGTTATATCCAAAATTTGATATACTTTTTAACCAAAGTGAGACACAGTTTGAACTTTGTTTCTTTCTACACCCTTTTATAAAGGATGCGAATTAATTAAATAATTATATGTTATGAATGTTATTTAACAGGTAGATGATTTAAGAAGGGCACGTGAAGACTTTTCAACCATGCACTATCTTTGTCGAGAATTAGGTTTACGTCGAAGTCCAATGCCTCGCATGGCCATGATATACATACACGTATATATGTATATGTATATGCATATGTATATATGTGTGCATGTGCATGTAGTGTGAACCTATGAACTCTGGTCTGAAACAAAATCTAAGACCTCATCTATGATCGAAACGTATCATCATAAAACCGATCGAAATGAGTTAGTGGTTGGGATTTCACGAAGTGTTAGATTTCTTTTAGGTTCAGTTAGGCAGTGTGATGATGACAATTTCTTTTTCTAAAATGGAAATACAAGTTCATGTCAATGATGGCTTCGTTGTCTTTCCATTTATGTGAATCATCAAAAAGCTTAAGACTACTTCTGGCACTATAGTTAAATACATCGTCATCACGTACACCTCTTTACGTATTCTAGAAGGGAAATCACATCTTTCATAAAACTTCATACTATCTTTTTCCTTCAATACTAGTTAACATTTTTGGATTGATGTAAAATTGTATAGTTTAGATAGAAGAAATACGTTTTTATTTGAGAGAAGAAGAAAAAAAAAGATTTTAATCCATTAGGTATGCTATCTAATATAACATTCAACCGATTAAATTAAGAATTAAATATAGTTTTAGTTGTTAAATTTGAATGTAAATTTGTAACTTTCTTCTCCGAAATTTTGATATATTTTAGTCTTCAAACTTTGAAAATAAGTAAATATAAGGTTTTTAAACCAAAAACAATATTAATATATTTTCACTTGTTCAACAATATTCTAAATTGATATTTGCGTTAAAATATGTTAAATGATATAAATAACTCAAATAAAAGTCCGATACACCATTTAATATGAAAAAGAAATTAATATTATTGGATTAAATTTTTTTTTTTACTTTAGGGATTAAAATTTATCAAAATTTGAGATATAAATAAATTTCAATTTCATTTTTAAGTTTAGAAATTAAAAACATGTTTAATTCTTAAATTAATTATAAAGTTATAAAAAAGATTACTATTGAAAAATTAATTTATTAGGCAAAATAAAATCAGGTGGGAGAATCATATTTCTACGTAAAATTTATCAGAACTGATTAGGTTGAGCTTAAGCTACATAAAGCCGAGACAAATAACATAATTCATACTAGGATTTACTACAACACGAGCATGCCATATTATTCAAAAGTTTTGTAAACCTCAAACATATCTTATATGGTACACCTACCATATTATTTACGATAATCATACAATAATGCACATATACATAAAAGTTCCTACATATATAAATATACTCCAATCCATAAGTAACTTAATCCTTGACTCACATCAAATGCATGGTAACACCACATAAACTTGCCTAATGATGTTATTAGTTAAGCCTGATGACACAATAACAACTTAGGTATATATATAAATATAGATATATATATCATATATCATATATCATATATCATATATATATAAATATATGATTTATGTATGCATGCATGTAGGTTATTCAATCCCCATTGAGCAAGTGAATAGACCACAAATCCTCTATGTTCCAATAGTTGGTGTTGCTGTTGATGTTGTGATTGGTACATGAACTTGATTGATCAGTGATTGGAGGAAACTGTGATGGAAATGGCTCCAAAGTTTCTTGATATGAGGGTGTGGAGTAAGACTCAATTTGCAGTGCCATGTTGGATGCTAGGCTTGTGCTAGAGCTTGCTTGATGATGATGATGATGATGTTGATGGTGATGATGATGATGATCATTTGTCTCTGAAATGTTACTGTTATTACCCTGTTGCTGTGAATTCTCAGCTTGCTTCATGTGCTTCTGGATTCTGGTTCTCCAAAAGTTCTTAATCTCATTGTCAGTTCTTCCTGGAAGATGCTTTGCAATTTTGGACCACCTTAATAAGAGAAACCATGTTAGATAATTGAAATTTGAAGTGATGGTGAGAAGACAAACTGAAATTTGTGCATTTGGGGTAAAAGGAATGTCATGATAAAGTTACACCGATACTAAATGAAAGTGTTGGCACGTTTTATATGGGTAATAATAAAATATAATAAAAAAAACAGACACCAATATTAAATAAATGTCACATGTCTGTTTTTTCTGCATTTTTCACGTGTCTATATTTGAGACCACGTTCCTTGGTTGAGAATAAAAGTGATGATGGTTTTTGAGTCTCACTTATAAAAGAGTTTGGCTATAAGTTGCTCAATCTCCCTTTGGAGATGCATTTGCTTTGCTACAACATGGGATCTGAGAACACCAAAATCATATTTCTCAATGCAATCCCCAGGTAAATATATATAGTGTACTTTGATTCTAACATTCCTAGGTTTCTCATATTTTGTATATAGATTCTATTAGTATAAAAATGTTTTTTTTTCTGTGTTTTATACAAATTTTCAAGATTTTTTTTCCAACATTCATCTCATAAAATTTTCTTCTATGATATTTATGTACACTTTTATGTATAAAAAACTCCATTATTTATTCTATTCTATCATTTCATCTATGATACTTTCATTTCTTTTGAGCCTTTTCCTCTAATACCCTCTTTAATAGAAAGAGATAGAGAAATAAGATTATGATGATGGTAGATGTATGATTGAATGAAAAGTAAAATAAAATAAGGTAGACTTAATTAATTACCACTTTTTCATTGATCTTTTTTTTTTTCTATTTCCTTTCAATAAAAAAAAAGTTTTGAAAATTTTGCTTATTTCTCTATATTTTCATACACCATTTCTATTATAATCCATTCTAGTTCTTTTTTAATTCTACCAAACAAAAAAGTAGGGCTACCTAGGTGCCCAAGAAAAGCCACGTGTCCTAAATTTGTGCCTCCTTTGTTATCCCAACTACAAGGGATAATAACAATTATCAATTTTCCTTTAAATATTTGAGTTTTTTTTTTTCTTAGATGGGAAGAAGTACTAAGGGTGGGAAAGGTACTAGAGTTGAGTTGTGCACTATCCAAGTTTAGGCCTTTTTTTTATCTATATTTTCTAAATTCACTCTTTTATTTTACAATAAATATTTTATTTTTCAGAAAAAAATTAGACGTACAAAATTTTGTCTCATAGGAAGAAGGGTCCTTGAAAATGATTATATGTGAAGAAGAAAAGAAACATAGTAAAAATAATATATTTACTCTAATGCTTTTCAATATATTTTTATTAATTTATTGGATTTAGATGAATAATTAAACCTAATTTATTTTATTGAGGTACCCCATCTATCCCCGTTCGTATACTTTTGTTTAAGAACATATAACTGTTTTTTAGCGTACTGTGTCATTAATTCCTTATAGCTTATCAACTTCTACAACTTGTTTCACTTTTTTATTTTCAGATCTGCACATAATAAATTTATTTAGGGGTTCGTCGTTTTTATTCATTCCTACATATATCTTAACTATTGCAATCTTAATATCAATATCTTCTTATTCTTATATATATATTTTTTATAATTTAACTGTCAAAGATAAGTTACAAAAGATTAAAAGAAAATTAAAGCTAGAAATAAGAGAAATTTTAAAACATATTTACCTTTCACTTTTTTAAATATAAAAATTAATAGTTTTTTGTATTTGAAAAATAAATTAAGAATTAAAATAATAATCATAAACAATAACTTTTATTTAAGGTAATTTTTCGAAAACTTCATTCTCTTCTTGTTCAAGATCTCAAAACCCCCTCACCTCCCAAGCACATGCATGCATGTGTCATGTTGTATACAAAAAAAATGTATCTTTAAGGGAAAAACAACCTCTAATTTCTTTCATATATATGAGTTAAATCCATTTTGAGAATTCCAAAAACTTATGAGAACCGATTTTTAATAGTAATATTTTTTTTAACCTATATTTTACAAACACCCCATGTGTTCCAATCCTTTTCTTGGCTAATTCAAAACCATGAACAAATTAGATCTCTCTCACTCTAATAATCTTCTATGACACTGCCAATTATGTTCTTGACATGCTTTTACAAACTATTTGATATTTTCAGATTACAGAAAAATGCTAAATAACACTTTCAATGCTTGAAAACCATTATATTTTTTTTTCACTTTTTATTCAGAGATAAACTCTTCTGATTTAGAAATGATGCTCATAAAAAACTTATAAACTTTAATCAATAACATGTTAGAATAGAGTCAACATCTTCTTCTATCTTTCAATCGTGGGAGAAAGTTGGAGAAGAAATTTTCCTTTTGGGGATTAAAATGACATACCTCTCATACCAAGATTCAGATATATAAGAAAGTTGAAAATGTGCACTTTATTGCTAGTATATGTATATTTTTAGATATATATATTCACCTATTACCCCACTTTGAATGAAGCTCAAAGATCAAAAGCTGTTCTTCTGTTGTAATGTTCCCTCTTCTAACATCAGGACGAAGGTAGTTTAGCCAACGAAGTCGACAACTTTTTCCAGTTCGTTTAAGACCTACACAAATATTCATACATCAACATGATGATATATATATAACCCTAATTAGGGTTTATAACAAAAAAAAAGATGAATAAGAAAATAATTAACATATATTTACCAGAAGCTTTGGCTAGAGAATTCCAAACACCTTCACCATGATTTGCAATATAGTTGATCAAGATCAAATCTTCTTCCATGGTCCATGGTCCCTTTCTCACTTCAGGATCATGAGATGATGTTGAGTTGCATGGTTTTTTGTCCATTATGTTGTACATATACACATAAGAGAGAGAAAAAAAGAAGAAGAAGAAGAGAAGACGTGGAAATCATAATGAGTGTTGGAGGGTTTAAATAGAGGATAATTAAATTTAAGATTATTTATTATAATAATGCATTGTCCTTTTGTAATAACACTAGGTTTTGCGGCCTAACCATGTTCATCATATGAGCATGCATGCATGAATATCGCAATAATTAATATATATTAGAAAAATGACTACTTTTTGATTGTGAGATAAACTATAACTTAGTAGACAATAGTGACCCTTGGATCCTCTGAAGACATAAAAGCATATGCATCAGAAGCATGTGATGTGTGTTGTACATTTTTCGAAAGAGGAAAGAAATTTACGACATTTAGTTCAAGTATCACAAGTCTTATGGATAATGGAATAAGGTAACCTTTAAGTCCTTTAAAGTATGAAAAATTAATTATAGGCCTACAAATCTATATGAAATATAGAGAGACCAAGTGGAAGAAAAAAATATATGTATAATAGGAGTTTGAATAATTGTTAAAGTGTTAATTAAGATTTTATAAGTGTTTCCTTTTAAGTTATTAACATTTATGTGATTGTTTACAGAAAAAAAAAAATGAAAAACATATCATTTGAATAATAAAAAAATAGTTTGCTTATACTTTATAGTTCATTGAGAGAGAAATTTATACTTAGCCAAAAATTATAAAAATATTATTTCATTTTTATAGATTATTTTTTCTTAAAATTGTAGTATATGATGTAATTAATGCGATAAGATTGTTTTTGAGATGGGTTGGAATAGATTAACCTATATTCTATTTATTTTGATATGTAAAATTTACAAATTTGATGTATTTTTTTTTTTGTTTATTACTAACTTATTTTTAAATGACATAATAGTTTTTTATATTGAAATGACTCATGATTATGGTTGGTTCATTTTAATATGTTTGGACACTTTTGCATTATGCTTTTATGTTACGATTGTAAGATATACTTTTTATAATTATTAATTTGATTTTTTTTATAAGTTTTTAAACCATTCTTATTTTTTACCTTTCTTTTTGTTTAGAGTTCACAATTTAGAAATAATCAACTTTGGATTAATATTGTCTAATTAGAATTTTAATTTGAGTTATTTTTTCCTCTTTACTAAAATATGAAATTGTTTTTTTATTCATTTCTATTGTATATGTAATTTTCGTCATCGCATATGATATTGTTCATTCTAAAGTGGATATTCACCAAAATCTCACATATTAATATGAAGAGAAAATTAGTAAAAAAATATTATAAAAATAAATAGTTAATTTTTAAGTTATTATCAAAACTCAATGAGAGACTTGGTAGTTGTGTGTTATTAAAGGATTTTCAATTTTGCAAAAGAAATATATGAGAAGGTTTTCAATTTTTGCAAAAAAATTGCATGAGATGGTTTGTAATTATAGTTAGAAAAACTGCATAGTAATAATATTTTTTTGAGTATTCATGAATGTAGGCATTGAGATACCAAACCACTTAAAATTTCTTGTGTGATTTTATATACATTTCTACTATTATTTGTAGAAGTGATTTTGCTTGGAGAAATTATTTTTCTTCTGAGTAACTCCCAATGGTGATATCAAAGCATAATTTCTAATCAAAGGATGAAGACGAGAAGTTTGACATGCTAACTATAATCAACATTGCATGTTGTGCCTTTGAAGATAGATTAGATTTGATGATTCTTTTTATGTAATGACATTATAGTTTGGTATGATTTGGCTGATATGGTGTTGGTGATGGATTCTACTAATGAGTTGTCAATGACAATGCATAAATTTTCGACAACGAGCCTGATGTGCAAGCCAGTGATGTTGATGACAAGAAAAGATTACTGTTGTCAATGTGTGGTGTAGATCACTTATGATAAGAGTGTCAAATGTTTGTTTCATAACATGCAAGACTTTAGATGAAGGAAAGATATGTTGGTTATCAAATAGATATTCACCAAAACCTTACATCGAGTAATATGAAGAAGAGAACACCAGAAAAATACTATAAAAATAAAAAGTTAAATTTGGAGTTATCACCACAACCCAATGAAGGAATTAGATAATTGTGTGCCATAAGAGTGTTCACAATTTTGTCTAGAAATTTTTTTTATGAGAAATTATAATTTTTGATAGGAAAATTGTATTAGATACAGTTTTTACCAGAAATATTGCATGTGGAGCAGTAATTTTTTGTTAAGTATTCGTGGATGTAGTTTTTAAAATGCATATCACTTAAAACTTATTGTGTGTTTTTATTTAATTTTTTATTCATATTTATGGGTCTAGTTTTGCTTGAATAAAATTATTTTTCTATTAAATTACTCCCAATAGTTATAATAAGAAAAAGGGTATATTTCTACTATGTATAATTTTAGAATTAGATTTGGTGAAACCGAATTGGAAAATCTATATAATCCTTCTATGTTTAAAGTTGTTACCTAAAATAAGACAATTTCAAGGAAAGCCGATCTAATATTTAACTTCAGTTTATTAGAAAAAGAAAAAAAAATAGTTAATTTGGAGAATGAAAATTTTATTGAATCAAACATTACTTTGTACATGTTATAATTAAATTAATTTTATTAATCTAGTTCTTATTTGAAAAAGTATCATTTAATAGAATGAAAATGTAAAAGAAAGTATAGCTAAAATTACGGGAGAGGTAAATTGGTTTAAATAAATGACCTCTTATAATTAAAAAAGTAAATGCAGCAATACAAACCATATACTGTATCCAACATGAAAGCCTTGAAATAAGAATAACATAATATTTCTTGAAATACTCCTTAAAAAACTTAAAGACAATGAAAACACTTAATTAATAATAAAACACCAAATACTTATGTACTATAACACAAAAATATATAAAGAAGATGAAAGATATCACCTAATGACAAATATTATTAAAGAAAACATTGCAAGAGAAACTTATAACATGTTTAATCTTTATATAGATATTCTCATCAAATCTTTTTCAGCAAAGTGTGGAGAAAAATTCTTCATACAAATTCTCAAAAAAATTACGATATTCTTTTTGAAAAATGTTGAAAGTGTATTTCTATCTTGACAAATTGGAAAATATATGATAGCTTAATACGTTATTCATGTGTCCCAAAATATATAGAAAAGACATACATATAATAAAAACGTCATCATGCATAATATAGGAAAACAGTCAAGAGTAATTACGATTACAGTCATCCTTAGAATAGTGTGGAATTAAAAACTAGAGTATTAGAGTTCTTTCCTGAAAATTATAGAGAATTTAAAACTTTAAATGCACTAAAGTTCTTCAAAAATAATATGAGTTCATGGAAATAAAAGCTAGCAAATCTAAGTTGCAGCACTGTCGTCCCCATCAAGAGCTATTTCCAAAGTATCCTCCTCGTCATCTGCTCCCACCCAAGTAGATGATCATCGCAAAAGGAAACACATACAACATGCACAAACACAAGCAAGCAAGGGTGAGCTAATTAAATATAAAAACATGCATCATGTCAAGCATAAAATCTACAAGAGTTATTCTCAAATCAAAACAGATTAAGACAGGTATCCTAACATGTTGAACACTAGACTTGACTTGTCCGGACTTTAGAATGAGAGTCGAGCTATGGCGGGTCATGCACCCGTGGTGGCTTATGAAACTTGGGTTCCCCACCCTGCCACACTCACGAGGTTAGTCCGTTCCGCGCCTTGGCCCATATTGGAAACCTCCGAGACTAAGACCTTCTACTACTCCTCACCACATGGTTCAATCCTCTCTACGTGAGAAGAAAGACCATTGGAGTTTCAGGATGACCCCCAAGACTGAGCTCCTACATTCATTCTAAACATACTTGAATCTCAACAAGAGAATTTACTGTGGATCACAACATGAGGCACCACCATGTAACCCCCCTGTGAGGTCTATGGAATTACGTCCATCAAACATACTTTGAAATCACATACTTTCACTTTTACATTGCATACAACCATAGATATAATACTAATTACACTTCAAAAGACCACAAACAACTTAATAAGTCATCAAAAATCACATGAAATCATTCCATGTACATTAACAGACATAACAGTCCAAGAAGACCTACTAAACAACACAAAACCCCTTAAACTCATACTTAGACAAGGAAAATAACTTTGAAACTATCACCAGAAAGGCCCAAAACCCCTAAAATGACCTAAAGAACGTCCAAAAATGATATCCGGAGCCCCGAAAACCACCTAAAACTGTCTTGGATGATTTTCCGACGATAATGATAATCGATTATTTGCGAGAGCTTTGAAGATGATACAACTCTCTGACTAGAATAATCGATTATCAAGTGAGATAATCGATTATTCTTATCAGTTTTTTACAACAACGTGATTTTTCTGGTTTTGGTGCATCTTAGACATATCCAAATGAGCAATTTAAAATTTGTAACACTAATATTGATATGAAACATGTTTATAGATGAAAGTAAAGTATTGCATTGGTCATTTGGATAGAAATTAGATGTACTAAACCAACTCAATTTCTACTCTAAAACATCAAACTCAATAACTAGAGGACCCCAAACCCAATTCTAACACTTTGTACCTATTCTGACCAATTTGGTGACTCAAACAAGTCACAATCCACTTGCTAAGACTGCCCCAATAGCCCAATTATACCCAGAACCCCTAACTCTCAAATTCACTACCTCACTTCCTCTAAAAGAACCTAAAACACTACTGAATCACCAAGTTTTCTACCTAGCTAAAGTTACAACAGATTTCACACTCCAAATCACTTCTAACATGATACAATACAGTAATTAAGTTCATCAAACTCACTATAAAGCAATCAATCACAGTTTCATCAATTACACCATTCAATTCAAGTCATCCTATATACTTAAAATCCAAAGTACCGTACAAAACCGCACGACAGTCCAAAATTCAACATGCATTCATTTTATTTACAAAGCAGATTCAAGAAATAAATTCAAAGAAAAATAATTAGCTCCCTTTACCTTCTTCTTTTGGGTTGCTCAATACAATTCACAGTAGATGCCCTAACAATACCCTCCACACAGAGCGGAACTTGACAGAACCTACAGATCACCAAATTGGTGATATAACATATCTCTTAGAGCTCGAATAGACAGAGAATGGAAGGAAAAACGTACAAGGC